GGCAGATGGTAATTACTGATACTGGAAATAAGCCTGGATAAAGGTGGTTAGAACTTCAGTTTAATGCCTGATCTATAAGGTGTTGCATTCACGGTATAAAACTCTCTCCTGTCTAGATGGGAATGTGGCTCATTATGGACATATTAGAGAAAAAAATTACTTCTGCTAAAGCACAAATACCAACTTTCCTTGTACATTTCTTTTCCAGGAAAAGACTTGATTAAGCCATGAGATAACCATAGACCAGGATGGCATGTGTATCACCAGATGAAATTCCCTTTCCATGTGTCTGTACAATGTCAGAGATGGAAGTCTGATTGCCATTTCATTATCTTTCAAATTGTTACTAATGAAGTGATGGCTGTTTACTCGAAATTCTATTCCACAATATTAAGAACATGAGACACAGGATTGAATGCACGCATCTGATCCTGAGCTTGTGCATGTGGAAGACAGAGAAGGAGAAACTGTAAGTTAAATAAATAAATTCAGTTTGAAGTGTGAAGTTTTAAAAGTCCCCTGTGACTTAAGAAACTCCAGCAACCTAAACAAAATGATCCCCCTAGCATATGTTATTCCTGCCCTTTCACTAGAAGCAACTAACTCAAGCAGAAGAGAATGAAGGCCAGTTACACGTGCCATTTGACAACTTCAAAGCACTGACACTACAATAATATATGCAATACTCCAATTGCCTATATTGGACACTAGAAACCCAGGTTTCAAAGTGGTTATGTAAGTAAAACCACTAAATTCTGAAATCATGCTCTCTGTTATCTGTTGACAATATTTAAGACTGTCCCAATAATAGACCTTCCCTGTTTTTAAATAATGGAAGACATCAGAAAAAATACTGGTCTGTTGGCTTTAATATTACAGTACACGCATCATACAGATGTCTGCAGATTAGAAATCTAGAGCTGATAAAAGACACTGAGAAAAAGCAAAGTATCTACTCACAAATATGATATTTCTCTGCACTGATCACAAAGATGTCAAAACACTTCATTTGTATATTCCTCTTGTATCAAAGTATTAACCTAAATGTTGTAGTCATAGCAGCATGATTGGATGGCCAGGACAAGTTACAAGTCTGAAGTAATAAAGAAAGGACTGTTACCATTCTCTAACCTTTGCTCTGTCTTGTTGTCCATTTCACAAATTCATCCTCACATTAAAACACTGAGCAGGATGTAATTATTCTGGACTGCAGTCTTTAGTCCACCCACTAGGTCTGAGACCAGTGTCACTATAAAACTGTCTGTCAAGGAGCGTTCCCAGAATCCCAAACAGCTTCACCAAGTAGATATTAAACAGCTTCACCAAGTTTTCATCTTTTTTCATGAAAATAATTTTTCTGTGTACTGAAGACTGTTTGTTTAGAATGGCTGTAAAAACTGTAAAATTACACGCAACTGAGTGGGAGATGATCCTGGAAGTGTGGGATGCTTAATTACATATCAAGAGGAAATTACACTGGTTTTCTTTTTCCCTTTATATACAAAGGTTTAACCACTTCAAACTCTCTTACCCTGAGCCATCTACTATTTCTATGATTTTAGCTTTACTTCATTAAACATATTTTTACCTCTTCTTCTAATATTCTTCAAATCCTCACTGCTACTATCATTAACCCACTGACAGACAAGTCCATTATAGGGTTAAGACAATCTTCCCAAGAGTGCTTTTTACTTGAGACAACTAAGTCAGATTTCAATGTTCTAAGCATTAGGCCCAATGCCTTAACCAGTTTCATGCTTATTTCTCTGAAGCTGGAATGGAAAAGTAGAAATGTTTTTCAGTAATATAGCTATTATTCTGGAAAGGAACATGTCCAGAAGTACAGACTACATATATATTTCTAGATTACACCATTATTTTTTTAACCTACCAACCTTTAGGTTCTGATGTTATGCTCTGAACCATTACACAAAAAACCGAAAACTTAATTCAAATATTTACTTGCAGAACAAAATTACCCAGATCCAAAAATTATAGTCATAAACTAACTGTCCAAATGCATACTGGGAGTAGAACTTACAACTGACCCTAAGAATACTACTCCATACACTTTTGAATGAAGGAGAATATCTACTATGGGCAAATGCTATTAAGATTTGTATACTTTTCGAGGGCATTAGTTACATGATTAACTTACAAGCTCTTCAGAAATCAATGAACTTTTTCACCAAACTATGAGTTAAATAGATCAGGGTAATATTCAGGCACTCACAGCCACTAGATAAGGAAGTACATCATGTTATCTTTCAATACCACTCTTCACTGTTTATTGAAAGCAATACTGTTCCAGTAGGCCTTTCCTGATGGAGAAGAAATGGCCCAATTATAAAGAGATCAGTTACAAAACAAGTGGTCTCAGACATCTCCAGAAGGTGAAAAAAACACAAGACACGCACATATATGCAAACATTCCTCCTATTTTCCAGATATTTTAGAATATTACTTACTATTTCCATCAGGAGAAAACACCTACTGTTAGCTAAGTGTCTTAAGATTCTGAAAGAAAGTCAGATGTATTGTATGTCATGTTTACTACTCATAATGTTAGATCAGTACTTGTTGGAATGTATCATGGCAATTCTGAGATTTATTTTTAAAGGTACTTCTCAATGGGGTAAGAAGGTAAAACCTTATATCCTCCAATTTAAGCTGAACACAGTCATCATTTGTTTATTTATAAAAATGACAAAATCATCGTTGTAGGAAATACTTAAAGAAAAGATCTCATTTTTTTCCAAAGATTGTACAGAGAATGCAATACATTAGAAGAGCTTAGGCATCAGAAATATTTAGAATCTCTTAAGTCTTCTAAAGTAATCACTATAAACCACTACGAAACTTACATACAATAAAATGAAAAATTTCATAAGCAAAATCTGAATTCTTGAATACAAATGTTGACAATGTATTTCTAGAGTGCAGAAAGTCCCTCTCTCCCTTCCACTCTCCATTGCTTGCATGAAAGATGCCACAGAGCTATGAAAACATGTTTAAAAAGTCCTAAGGGGAAAGTTTCCTAGGGTCTTTGAAATTCCTCCTTTTCCTATTTCTTTACAGATTTCTAACGCCAACACTGTTCCTGTAGTTTCTCAAACAAGGCAAAAAGTAAAATACCCTCTAGATATAATCTTTAGATTTCCTATTATACTTCTCAAGTTCCTTTTGGCTTTTGAAATAAATGCAAACTGAAATCTACAGTTGTATTACCAACTGTATTTTAATTTTAGTTAATCTTTCAGCCTGAAGAAGTAGATGGTATTTGACTGCACTATTGCCTGTACTTACAAGAATCATATAGGTATGTGATTTAATGAATGAAATAACCTGAAAATACTTTTTGTTTGGTCATTCTTTTGTCTACTTGTGTTTTTATTTAACTGTAGGCACAAAAAAAGCATTGCTTTAGGTTCCTATCTCTATGATAAAAAGCACAGGGCAAGGAGCTACCACCTATCTATACGAAAAATTTGCTGCAACATAAACCATGCCTCCATTTCTCCCTTTTCAAGCAAATATTTGAATATAATTAGTCCAAGCTAGGGATTCCATAATTTTCATAGCAAAATCAAGCTGGATTTTAGAACACTTTTTATGTGATAATTTTGATTAAGCAGTTATATTTTTGGCCATGGATGAGTAAAGATATTCACAGATATAGGGTCATATTATTGGCGGGGTAGAAACTTAACTTTGAGCTAGTCTGTTTACTTTAGCAGACCTAACTATGAAACCAAGTGTTGCCCCACCGCCTACTTCCTAAAGTAAGAGCTATGTGACACAGGAGCATTTTCCACCATGCAAATGATGAGCGATATCAGTAAATTGTGTCTCCTGCATATAGATCTTTTCCTTTATTTTTGTTTCATTGTTATCCTTGGCTCTTCCTCCACCATCTCTAAGATCATTCTTGCTATGTAGAATTACAGTAAGAAAACACCAGAAGATTTCATATAATCCTAGCCAAGAGCCACTCTACAAACTACTCTCTAGGAAGCACTGAATATCAATGCAAAGAATTGTCTGGCATCAGAATCTGAAAATCTACTCAGCACAACCATCTCTGTTATTTCTAGAAACAGGAATCTTGAATTTTTCTATAAATTTCAGCCTGCTGCATGCCAAGATGCTAAGAGTTACTGGATTGCTCTGATGCATATTCTGTGCTTAGAATGCATTGGAAAAATCAACCCTTTCCAATGCACCCTCCCCCAACCACCTTTGCTTACTACTGATGGTAATGAAAGGTCATGGACCCTATGCCAGAAGTTTCTATTGTGTATAGTGTCCCTACATTGCTTGCACCAATTTGAATAAGCATGTTTTGTATTTAAAATGCTCTTACAAATATTAAGTTGGCAACTGGTAAGTACTATAGCCCTCTTTAATAACTAATATCCACAAAATGATGATAGGTGTCAATACCTTATTCTTGAAGTACTTGTTGTATTCAACACGCACTATTATGGAGGACTTAAACTCAGAGCAGAAAGATTTGTGAAAAGGCGTATGACCTTCTTCCCACTACAATGGCCATCCCCTAATTAAGCAATGCATCTGATAGTCATTAACAGGAATGAGATAATGAATCACTTTCTCTCTTCTTTGTTAATTTGCTGTAACCAAGCGGCTAATGGATGTCAGAGCTGAGTGATTGCACTGATTATAGTGATTTATAGTTGCAACAAAACAATTTCAAACCATTCTGATTATTCATGTTAAAGATGCTTTATGTTTTGTTTACTAAATGTTTTATGTTCCCCCTCATGCCCCTCTACACAAAATGAGACAGGTCTTCCTGGAAAACTTGAAAGTTCTAAGATTTTTTATTGTTTCAGAGTAAGGCATTTCATTTTTTTTATTAAAAAAAAAGTTTACCCAGTAGAAATGAAAAGCCTTAGGGTGGAAAGAAAACTTCAGTGGTGCCTAGTTCAAAAGAAGACGGAAATAAGAGGAAATAAGGCAAACTTCAAGTCACTTACCTTAGGGCTCCCAGTCCCTTCCTCATTCTCTGCAGACACATCAGTAGCCAGTATCTCTGCTTTGATGATATCCAGAGCCCTAAGAATCCAGCTGTGTTGCCGTTTGATTTGCCTCTGTAGTTCCTTCCATTGACTTGCAATCATCTGCAGCATGTCCTTCAGTCCTTCTCCAAAATGAAGGGGAAAAAAGTAAAAGCTGTAAACTCGACTATTATTCTTTATTCAAAGAATTAGCAGGATATGTAAAAGAATAAATGCAACAAGAATTTTAATGTATTTTCTCAGCAATAAATCCAAGCATTACTATTGTTCATACTGCAAAACAATGGTATAGGGTCAAAACATTTCTTTTAGTCATCATGTTAAATTTTGATTATGTTTCAGCTGACAATTTCAAGAAAATGAAAATTCCACATAAACTGTGATTTCTGTGCAGTAGGGAATGCTACCGTAATCTCACCTCTAATATCTAGTCTTTACCTTGAAACATTTCATAATCTTCCAAATACATTTTTCTGACCTCCAACTCTTCTAAATATTTTCCATAGTTTACACATTACCATTTTCTAAGTATATGATGACATGCACTACCCTTCTCTGCTATGGCTTCTATACTTTTTTGGAACTATACATAGAAGTCACTAATTTTCCTGTAGCTTTCACATTACAGAGATTCGTCTGATGCTGTGAAACAATAGAGGCACAATGTATAACATGATCAGAAAACAGTAGACCAAAGGATAACTTCAACCTGGATGAAAAGCATGCTAAGTAGGCCAAAATTAAGATGGCATTCTGTAGCAGTATATGCTGATTAAAACCCTATTATCATACAAGTCACGCAAACATCTAAAAATATAGGGGGTGGTGGGGATACAGAAAGGAAAATCAGTATCTCTCTCCCCCTCCTCTCGATTTAAGGCCTCTGCAGAAAAAGACAAGCCTAACCAAAGGAAAAAGGTATTTTTAATTTTAATCTATTCCTCATAAATGTATGAAAATCAATGTAAGAATTAGTTTAAGTGGCAAAATAAAGCTTTAACAATGCAATTATGCACGCAGAGTATGTAAAATATATATATATATTTGAAATCCTAATTCATTATCTTAATGTTATTTCCATAGCACCTACATCAAAGAATGTGTCATTGTGAAGTTTTCAGTGATGTGATTTCAATTGAAACTCAGCTGAGCAGCAAGACCAAAATAAAATGAACAGACTATTTGCAGGCAGTATTTCATTTTATAAGTATCACTGCATTGTATGCAGTATATGAAACATTTATAAATCTTGAAGGTCAATCTGATAATGTAAATATTAATAATACATAAGGAAGTGAATATATGCAGTAATTTACAGCAATGCTTCTTCATTCTTTAATAGTCTGGAGACATAAAGACTTGCAATATTTCAGAAGGATTTACCTGATTTGTGAGATACAATAAGCTCAAGAAGTTGACGTCCTTCTTCTACCACTGCTTCTTTTAAAGCACAGTGGCTATCTACATTCAACTTAAAACTCTGCAAAAAAAAGAAAAGAAAAAAAGAAGAGAGAGGAAAAAACTCAGTATCAGACATTGGAGAGGTAGTTATCATAAAACACACGTACAAAATTACTTGCTGCTTTTTATCAAGAACCACATCCCCATTTACCCAATAGCCAAACTAATTTGCGATACTAAAAGCTATTGATATTTTGGATCTGGGCTCAAAATGTTTCCATTAGATCAGCAAAGTGCATCTGTGTTGAAACAGCTGACAAATCTAGAAATTCATTAGGTTTTATGAAAAGTCACAACCCGTAGGCTACATCTGGAGTAACAGTGTTCTATAAAATACACTAAATTTATGCCACCACATATAAGCTCTGTTTTTTTCAGATTTCTTTGAAATGTTGGTGATAGCACTATTTACGAAACCATAAAAAAAATTCAGCATTGAATATATTGGCCTTATGTGCACTCATACAAATCTATTAATATTGTGTTTCTGAGTTAACTCTCATATCCGTTTTCAAAGAACAAATCAGACTGCTTTAGATCTCTGCATTCTTAATTTGCAAAGCAATATTTTTCATCCTTTTTTGCACTAATATTTTTACTAGTTTACAAAGCATCTCTGCTTTAACAGTGATTAAAATATTTTGTGGGTTTTTTTAAATTTATTTTTTATTTTTACAAATTGCATTAAAATCTAGTAATAGAGAGAGAAACTGGAAACATGATCTACTATGTTATGCCATTTCATACACTGCTGATAACTTGGATAAATTCATGAATTATTTGCCAGAGCTTCTCACTCATACTTGTGTTTAAGAAAAGAAACAAAATACAATTAAGAAAGGGGTACTTGCTGTCATAAATCATAAATCATGTGCAGCCCTGAACACACACATGCAACTCTTGTTCTCTTTGAAATGTCTACGGAATGAATGAAAACAATATATGACCCCTTGGAAGCAAAGAGTTTTGCCTTCTCTTGGGAATGAGTTAACTGGCAGAGATGAAAGGAGACTTTGCAAGTGCACATTTGTAGCTTCTGGTTTTTATAAAACTTATTTATACTTCTCCAAATACTAGTGACCATGCTAGTACTGAAGTAGCAGACACCACAAAATACTCAAAAGCCCTCATTTCTTAGGGAAGCAACCATTTCCTTTCTTTCCTAACTCCTGTAGTCAGGCTGATTGGCGTAGCAGAAAATAATATTGCCAGAACTGTAATAAAATGATGTTCTTTTACTGTATTTGTCATGGTTGAAAGAGGCATGTTGCTCAGACAGACTCTTAACAGTCTTTCAGGCAGCAGTGTACCTGACAGTTAGTGACAGAATGTTTTTGAGAATTCTCCATTCAAATAAAGAGCAACAAACAAGAATTTTGCTACCTTCAGCATTTTGTCTAGCCCAATTTTCCTTGTATGGGCATGTGAATATATTGTTTTGTACCAGCTGTTGAACAACTGGGTCAGCCAAGAGAAGTTAAAAAAGAAAAAGGATGCCTAGTTTATGTCTGGCCCTTTCTTAAATCTAGAGTTTTATGAACCCAAATCTAGAAGTTCTTTTTCCTTCGTAAGAGCATGTCTGAACAAGCACTGACAATATTTAATTTACTGTTTACTTAAAACAGGCTTCTACTGAATAGTTTGTAATCATGCACTTCACAGGAAATGCACTATGCGTGTGCCTCACACAGCAAAAGAGAACCTAAAGGACCTGAGAGTAGGTTGTGTAATTTCATATAATTGAAGTTGAGTATAGATGCAGCTGGATGTGGCAGTGTCTCAAGATGATGTGGATGTGTTTGATAGGAAAATTGGAAAAGATGAGGTATTCTTTTTCATTAGGAAAAAAAAAAGAGACTTGCTGTCCTAGAAAAGATTCATTTAACATAACGCACCAGATACTACAATACAGCTTGATTTTCAGGTGCACCTATTAACGAGTAATAACGTTAAACTGAAGAAGCAAAATATGATGAATAAAGATGCGGCCAAACTTTTGAGTTTTGACTAGCAATATTCTCCTTGTGCAAAATTCTGGTTTTATGGATAAATTATGTGTGGCACAAATACCGTGAACATACATGAAATTTAGCAGAAATAAACTCTTATCAGCACAGAGGCATCAAAAGGAGGGAACCATTCATATAAGTATAAATACAAACAGAAGTGAAGGAAATTGTCCGTTGATGTAGTGAAGTATGAGTTTTGGCTTTAGAATTATATACTTATATATAATTTCTTACGGGTGGTAATTTCCTAAGAAAAAGGAACAAATGGACAAGGAACACTGGAAAGAATAGCCCTCAAACAGTGCATCAGTGCTCGTGGTTCCTCATACCTGCAGGGCTGAAAATGTGACACATGAAAAAGGCAGACAGAGTTGAAGGTGTAACAAGTATTACATGCATATACAATGGAGAGATGCAAATTTGCACAGCTAAAGATAAAATCAGACCAAATATTTGCAATGGAGGAGGACCTTCAAACACAGAGGTCCTCTCCCATCCTGGATATTGCCTGTTCCCTACTGTTTACTTATGGCATTTGGCAAATGGACTCTAACACTGTGTGACACAGGTACACTGCTCCCCTCCTCCTCTGATCTTCCCTGATAATGAATGGAGCCTTCGCATCTGAAGAGAGGAAAGGAGAAGTGGAGGGAAGTCAATTAATCAAAGCCATTTTTCCAGACACATTTGCAGCTATGGAGCAGTCTAAATATCACACATGAGCACATATACATTATGGAAAATGCATGTGCGTTGGCCTGACAGCAGCTTTTTAAACAACACGTTAATGTCATCCCTAGCACTACAGTGTATATAAAACAGTTTACAAGCTGCAACAAACAAAATTTCCTCATGAAGTTCTCTCCACTTTTCCCAGTCACCACACACCTATATATAAATATCAACTGTTCTTATTTAGAAAAGAAAAGCGAGGCAGGAATCATGCAGTTTTATTAAAGCTACAGAACTGTAAATAAACAGGAATAAAGACTCCAAAAGTGTAAGTACAAAGCCCCAGGAGTGCTATCTTCCGTGGACTGCATGCGGCAAAGGAGCCCAGCGTTCACAAAATGAAGCTGTCCCGACTTTTAGGAAACTGATTGATCCATTGGACAACAATACTGCAGAACTTCCATGGGGGAAAAAAGCAGCCCCTCGGGCTCTGAACACACTAAAAATAAGAGAGCGCTTTTCCAGCATATAATAATCTCTCCCTCTCAGCTTATTTGTCTGTACAACTGGGGATGATAAAAATTATTTGAAAAAATATTTATTTGAAGTTCCCCTGAGGATTTATTTTATGGCTGTAGATATTTAAATTTAGGAAACTCCTGTTGAGTAGGTATCCTACAGTATGTATATATCAAGCTTTGATATGCAATCTTTCACTGTTTTGCAACCCTCTGTTTTTAGCAAATCCTTATAAATTGGTAAAACACAAGCCAGGTCTTGACCTATTCACATCTGCAGTAAGGACAGTCAACTATTGAATATTTTTGTTTCCAGCAGCACACAGACTTTGTATAAGCATGTTTTTTTTAAGTCATGACGTGTCCAACTAATTATTTCCAGTGTACTTTGTGTCTCTGAAACACAATAAGCAACTAGGTATCATGTGAACTTACAATGTATACATAAATACAGATTAGTTTAAATGACACAGCAATTTACACCTATTGCAAGATTAAGATACTGTATTTAAAGAAATATTTCAATTTTCTCAGTCAATCATACTATTAGCATATGTGGTGTACTGGTGTACCCCTGAGACCTAATTTTCTTGAGGTTCATTTCTGATGTGTTTAAATACCTTTCGGAAAAATATCACTGCTTCCAGGGCATTTATTTTTCAGAGAAATGGTACAGACAATTGAAATTACCTAAGCGACCTATGATTTTAGAATTTGAAATACAGAAAGCTTAATTTAAAATTTCCTAATACTCATTTGCATTTTTGGAGAAAACCACAACATTACTAAAACATGGACTTCTATATTTAGGTATTGAATGTATATTTTGGTTAAGAATGTAACACTTCTAATTATAACACTCACTGTGACAGATATAATTCAGTTGTGAAATTTAGAGTGACAGGAACAGTTTCTGGTAGAAAAGAAATGGGATTCTTTGACTGAGACAATCCTGGAAGGATAACCAAACTCCCACAAATATTATCAGCAATGTTATGTTTCGGATAGGGAGACAGTTTCAACACACAGTAAAATTCTAAGAAAACGGAGCAACAAACGTGTCACTTATTAAATATATGCCATATACCAATAATCTCAAAAAAAAAAAAAAAGTTGAAAATCTGATTTTAGTTTTTTTTTTAAATTACCACATTTCATTTGCCTTAAAGGGAATATGACTTAAAACAGTTCCTGAAAATTTATTCTTATATTCTTAATATACAGTTACTTTTGCAACTGTATTGGTCCTGGCACAGTTACCTCCCAATAGCTTGTTATGACAAAATACCAAGATATCAAGTACTGAATACAACTTTTGGTTATGGAAAGGTAGCTGTCTACTTTTTTTTCTCTTGAGGAGTTCTGACCACACAGAAAGTCTCTGTTTGGTCACTGCCTAGTATTTACGTATTCAAGTTAAAAACCTAATAAGCCATGTAATAATGTAGTGGTATTTTCATACTCCTGAACACTACCTACCAATAACATTCAGTAAATAAAAAAAATAACTACCGTGTAAGCTGTCCTTATATTAACATGGAAATGGTCATATATTTAGCATTCTAATGACATAATACTAAATATCTAATTAATTGGTCAATGGTTACATAAAATGGATATTCATATGCAATTTGTACATGGAAAAAGATCCTATCTGCTATGAAATAGTGCATTTCACACATTATACCTACAAATATATCATCAAACTATTTCACTTTTTAACAATTGGGAAATATCTTATTTAGGAAAGCCTCACATTTTTCATCAGGGATATAAAGCCTACTTAGTATCAGAAGTCACCAGGATATGTTCTCCTGGGA